CCCCTCCGCCGCCGCCGCCGCCACCGCCGGATTTGGATCCGGATCTTGAGGAGCAGCGGCTTGCGGCGGTGGCAGGGAGGTTGCCAGTGACTTTAGTCGATGACTTGGCGCTGATGCGGCCGCCCGCGGTCAAGGTAGGGCTGCAGGCTGAGTTGGAGCTGGCGGAGCAGGCGGCAGCGGCGGCGGCAGCGGCGGCAGCCGGCGGCGACGTTGGGGTCGTCGTCGGCGAGGGGGAGTTGGGGGAAGAGGGTGGCGAAGAGGGCGGTCTTGAGGGCGATGAGGCAGCGGCGGCGGCGGCGGCGACAGCGGAGGAGGGCGGCGGCGGCGGCGGCGGCGGTCGAGAAGGGGGGAAGGGCCGCGAGGATGTGACGCGGCGGAGAAGGTAAGACGCCGCTGCCTCCACAGCATGACAGAATGTTTAGCCCTTGCTGTGGGCTTTGAGTTTGGAGCTGAAGGAAAGCACTGACAGGCTGTGGTGGTGGTGTAGGGGGAGGGGGAGGGTGTTGTGGCTGGCGCGGATGTGCACATTGAGCAGTCTGATGGAAGTGAAGACAGAAGACACAGAGTTGGGTAGTGGCGTCGATTTAAGAGTGATGGAGCGGCGACATGACTGTAGGGTTGGGTGGCAGAAATCAGCATAGCAATAGCAGCAACCGTAGCAGCAACCGTAGCAGCAGCAATAATAGCAGTTGATTTGCATTGTGGCTGGTCGACGGTACCAACTTCAGGAAGCGGGCTAACCAAACCTCTTCTCAATGCTTTTCGAAGTTCTTCTACCCATCCCCTTCTCACCCTCCTGCCCTTGCCTCGGCCTCAGCCGTACAACTGTCGTACTGGACACCGTTCACATGTCGCTGACCGTGTTTTGGTTTCGGGGGGCCCTGATCCTTTCGTACATGGCCGCCCTCTCGCCACGCACGCGCAGGGCCCTTGAACACCCCGAAGAGCCAACACCCATGCTGCTGCTACCACCACCACCGCCGCCGCCGCCGTTGCTACAACAGCCGCTACAGCCAGCATCATCCGAACAGGCGCCTGCAGTGCAGCCCACCGCCGCCGCCGCAGGCGCAGCCGCGCAACCTCCGGCGTCGGCAGCACAGCTCCCAGCCCCCGTGGCACCTTCAGCCCCTGTGCCCGTCGGCGGCCGGGATTCGTACGACGATCCGTACGCTATCGTACCGCTCCAGTTGGCAGAGGCGTTGTCGGAGGCGCTGGCGTCGGCGCTCCGGCTTCAGCGCGCAAGAGACAGCACGCTTTGGGATCCGGATCCAGGGGACCTTTTTTCGGATGACTACATGGCGGATGAAATCGCTGCGATTTCGGAGCGGCGGCCGGCGATGGTGGGTCTGCTGCCGGAGGCTCTGACGTACAGCGTCTTCGTGGAGGATTGGGAGGACGACATCTTGTGGGACGGCGCCGCCGCCGACGGCGACGACAAGGCAGCAGCGGCTGCGGCGGAGAAGGGTGTGAGGTCGCTGCAGGCGGCGGCAACGGCGCGGCGTGTCGTAGAGGAAGAAGAGGAGGAGGAGAAGGAGGAGGGGAGGGAAGGGGAAGGGAAAGGGAAACAGCAGGAAGCGGCGGCGGCGGCGGCGGCGGGGAATGGTACGGAAGAGGTGGCGGATGCGGTGCAGGGCTCCGATGCCATGCAGGTGGATGGTCCAGGGGGCGCCGCGGACGAGGCCGTGCCGCCGATTGCTGCACGGCGTTCCGTGCCGCCACGTGCGGTGTCAGCTGCGCGCTTAAAAACAATGAGTACTGCATGGCGCCGTCGGCCAGCGTCGACGCCGCCGCCGCGGGCAATTCCTGTCAACCAACTAACGGCCAGTGCCTTATGGCGCGGGCGGCCCGTCGTTGCCTCCGCAGCGGAGCTACTTGGAGGGCTCCGCGCGCGGCCTCTGTCCGAACCGCCGCCGCAACGGCTGGGGGATACGACGGCGGCGACGGCAGCGGAGTCTGAAGACGCCACGGCGATGCTGGGCGCGGCCGCAGCAGCCGTTGCTTCCGCCGCAGCGGCGATGGGAGTGGCGGAGCCGCCGCTGACGGCGATGGCGGCGGCGGCGACAGCCGCCACAGCAACGGCGAGGGCGGCTTCACGTGGCGGCGGTGAGCCGGCGGTACCCCTGGCGCTGCTGGCGGCAGCGGAGCCGGAGCCGCTGCCGCGGGCCGCCGACCCGGAGGCGCCGCCGCCAGACCAGCGGCTCTTCGTCGATGGGCAGCATCCGCAGATGCTCCGTCTAGTGGACAAGCAGGCCGCTGCCGCCGCCACCGGCGGCGGTTTCGCGCGCAGTACGGCGCGGTACTACCACCCCGCGCTGGCGCTCTCCCAGGACGACCCATGGGTCGCCAACGCTATCGACGCCGCGCCTGGCGCACCTCCCATGCCGCTCGTCCACAACCTCAACGACCCAGCTCTTGTCTATCGTGCGCAAGGAACGGCGGCGGCAGCGGTTTCGGAGCAGCTCTGCCGCGCCGCGGCGGTAGTGGCGCCGCCTGTGGTGCGCCGCAAGGTGACCCGTGGGCCGGTGATGGAGGCGGCTCACAGTGAAGTGATTGGTATGCAGCTGGCGGCGTTCAACGTATCCCTGGACAGCCACTACACACACCAGGTGGGACTCCTGTAGGGGGGGCCCTTGCCCACTAGGGCCTCCATTGCTCCCGCGCTGTAGCCTAAACAGGCCTGGCATGTGGCCAGGCCTGTTAACACAGGCCTGGCCACACGACCATCATTCCCTCCACAGCCATGTTTCTATTCAATTCGAACACGCGAGATCCCGCCATTTTCAGACCACGACGACCACACGAATTCACCATGTGTGGTGGCAGAAGCAGCACGCGTGCGGGCGTATGTATGTAGTGAAAAGTACGTGTGTGTACATAATATCCGGATGGAATTCTCCCCCCCCAAACAAAGACCCTTTTTTCCCAAACCCGCCCTTCACCTCGCCGCTGCCCTAACTCACCCCAACCGTAACACTTCCATCCCTCCCCCCGGGAAATCCCCCCTTCCCCGCCTTGTCCCCCTGGGCCGCTCCGAAACCCTAGGCCAAGGCCCGCGTGGACCGTACCCAGAAGTCCCTGTCCCGCCACGGCACCCCCGCCATCACCCTGGCCACCCTGCCCGCCCGCCTGACGAGGGAGGACCTGGTGCTGTTCCACAGACCGAGATCCGTGTGGTCGGTGGCGATGACGGCGCAGAAGGCCGCGCCCGCGCTGCTGGCGGCCGCTGCCAAACAAACCAAGGAACAGGTCTACATGTTCAAGTAGGGAGCGGAGAGGGGGAAGGGGTCACGGCTGCGGCGGCGGGGGGGTGGGGGGGTGGGATAAAGGGTGGTGGGTTTCGGGGTGAGGGATGGAAGGGGGGATATGAAGTTCGCCTTCCCCCCCCCACACACACACATACACACATACACGACTACTCCCCCGCTCATTGCTCCCCCCATTACCCATCCACAACCCTCCGACCCACTACCCCCAATGCCCCCCTTCCCCTACATACGTATATACATACGTACATACGTATGCGCAGGAGCGTTACGGGCATCACCATGAACCGCATCATGGACGCCTCGCACTCCTTCCAGCGCTTGGCTGACGTGTTGGCCGTACGGGACGCCCAGGGACGTAACGCCCTGGACATTGGGTTTCCGCAACACAAGGAGTCGCCGTACAGCATCATGGGCGGTTGGCCGTTGGTGACGTTGACGCCGGAGACGAGGCTGGCTGAGGCGGG